TGGAGCCTTGTTTTTCACCAGGGCCTTCAGTGGAGCTTGGACTTCTTCCTTCAGTACCATTAGTTCCTGATCATATGCTGCCTCCTTGAATGACTGAATGTCTACCTGTTCCTTTTGGTGCAGTGACTCCTATGTATTCTTTCCATCATGTTTTGATGCTTCTTGTGTGTTCAGTATTTTGCCTGTAGAATCTTTCGATACTGCAACTCAAGGCTTACATTTTTTCTTCAGTTCTTACAGCTTGAGAAATGCTGGTGGGTTCTCCCGTTTTGACTTCTAACTCTGGGTCTTTGCACATTTCGTTGTAATACTTTTTTTCTCGAGCCGCCCTTTGAAGTCTTCTGTTCACCTCTTTTATATCATCATTTCTTCTGTTCCCTTTAGCTACTCGCCATTTAAGAGCAAGTTTCAGAGTCTTTCTTGACATCCATTTTGGTTTTTCTTTCCTTCCTGACTTTTTAATGACCTTTTGCTTTCTTCATGTGTGATGTCCTTGATCTCTTCTCACCACTTGTGTGGTCTTCAGCTATTGGTGTTCAGTGCATCAGATCTTTTCTTTGGATGGTCTCTAAATTCAAGTGATGTTTCCAAGGTCATTATTTTCGCAGTCGTTGAGTTACTTTAACTTTCTTCTGCTTCATCTTAAACTTACATAGGAGCAATTGATGGTCTGTTCCACATTCACACCCAGCCTTGTTCCAATTGATGATGCTGAGCTGCTCCATTGTCTCTTCTCGCAGATGAGTCGATTTGATTCCTGTGTATTCCCTCTGGTGAAGTCCACATGGATAGTTGCCCATTTATGTTGTTGAAAACAGGTACTTGCAATGAATAAATAAATGGTCTCGCAAAATTCTACCATGTGATCTCTGGCAGCAATTGTGTCACCAAGGCCATATGTTCCAGCTAATGATGCTGCTTGTTTGATCAATTTCAGATTGCAGAAATTGGTAAAATTCTTAAATTTAGCTTTGGCTCTAGTGGTTGGTATATAAATTTGAATATTAGTCATATTAACTAGTCTTCCTTGTATGCTTATGGATATTATCCTATCACTGACAGCATTGTACTTCAGGACAGATCTTAAATGTTCTTTTTGACAATGAATGTGACGTTGTTCCTGTTCAATTTGTCATTTCTAGAATAGTAGGACATGTGAACTGTCTGATTCAAAATGGCCAGTACCACCAATACATTTCTACTTACTAATGCCTAAGATGTCTATCTTCATGCCTTCCATTTCATTTTTTGACGACTTCCAATTTTTCTACAATTTTGACACTACACTTCCCAAACATCCCCAAAATTTTAGTCAAATGAATGCCAGGGAAGTGGGGCTGAGCAGATTTTTTTCTCTTACTTAATGACTTGATGAGATTTTTTTTTTTTTTTTAATTGAGCTGAATCATATTAAATTTTCTCATAGGAACGTTGCTTTGCTTGTCCCTTCCCTGATGGACGACATTATCTCTCTAAGAAGTGTCCCTGAAAACTACGCTCTTCTTGCAGTCTTTTCTTCTTGGGCTGTTCTAATTCTCTTCAGAGCTTTTTGGGAATAACACTGTATCATAGTGTTCACCTATTGAAATAGACTTTATTTTGATCAAAATGTTTGAATTAAGATGGAATATTGGATAAAACCTGTGTTCTTTTCAATATTCCCATTTGCATTAAGTAAATCCAAGCTTAGCATATACCCAGTAATCCTAATTGGACATTACTTCCCTACAAACTTTGACAGGGCAATCTTTTCAGATGGGGAAACATGCATTTTCAGCTAATTTGGTACCTCCTACCTGTTGAAAAGGAGCTTTGGTAGCATAGAGCTCTGGTAGTGTTCTGCTAACCAGAAGGCTGGCTGTTCAAACCCACCAGCCACTCCTCAGAAGGAAGGTTGGGCGATCTACTTCTGTAGTGATACTGCCTCGGAAACCCAAGGAGGGGTCTCTATGAATCCAGGGCAGTGAGTTTGGTTTGTTTGCTTGTTTTCCTATTGATAATCGATATGTAGGCTGCTCAATTTCAGAGTATTTGACTTCTGAGTTTTATTTCCTAATCCACTAAGGCTGTGTGTTTTCTCTTCTCCCATTCTATTGCTCTGGTGCCAGCTGCAGTATCTTGTTTCCTGCCCGCTCAGAGATGTTTGCCAGTAGCATGTACTTGTTGCTTTCCGGCACCCCACACAGATAGAGGCTTTGTCTGGAATGCTTGTGATTTTAGCCGGAGCCAGGAATTTTCTGCAGCTGAGTAGGGGGAGGAGTTGTGCCTGTTTCCCTCTATTGAGAGTGTAGGGGTTGGGGAGAGAGGGAGGGTGGGTGGGTGGGTGATTTCCCGGAATTTTAAGTATTCCGCACAATGAATCCTTTGATTTCTTTTTCAGGAACAGGGCGGATACCTGACCAACTCGTGATCCTAGACATGAAGCATGGAGTGGAGGCAAAAAATTACGAGGAGGTATGTCCTGCTTTCAAGCCAGAGGAGGCAGTGGCGTGCTGTGCCGAGATTTCTGTGACCTAGTCAGGCAGTAGGCTATGCTTTGCCCAGAATCTGGCTGTGGTTTTCTCAGTAGTCATGTGATAACCAGCTACAATCTTACTGATAAAAAAAGTTGTATTAATAGCTTGAACAATCATTTTGGCCATGCTGTCAGCCAAAGGACTGAACTAGCTGTCCCACAGAAATGTTGGTGTGCTAAAACATTCACTCACACGCCGTAAACTTTTGTGAGGCAGAAACCAGATATATACAGTTACAGTTTGTAAAGGAATGCATTTATGTGTTAGTGTCCAAGGTAGGAAAAGTGATTTGTTTTTAATTCCTGAGCCTTTTTTCAGAGCTGGCAACTATATGTATTTCCATAGGGCATGGACTCAGTGCTGTTTGGATTTGAACAACTGTGCTTTCTTGGAGAGATGTAATATTCAGAAGTAGCTTTTAATTAAAATGATTTTAAACTCAAGGAAGATGGCGGTATGGAGAAAAAGGCTATAAGACAATAGGGATGGTGATAATGAATAAAAATTGAATGCTGGCAGGAACTATGATAGAGTAATAAAAACTGGCTTTGATTGATCTGGATGATGGGGAGGTAGAGATGGGCATAGAGCAAGGAGAATGGGCCTGAGTCTTTGTTGTCTAAGTTACAGCAGACTTTGGGGACAACACAGAATGGTTCATCAGATGAAAAGCAACTTTGAAAAACCACAAGAACAATATAAGAGAGGAGGATTGATCTTCACAGAAAGATAAGAGTATTTTTACCAAGAAAACTAGTATCTTAGGGCATGAGGAATTGTTGAGATACAGGAGATGTGCATGGCTTTTGAAGAATGAAGTAAATAAGGAAAAAAAAAGTTGTTTTAGGTGATTCGAGCAAATTCTCTAGGAGTGGTGGGTGGGGGCAGAAGATGCTCTATCTTCGGTCAGGTCTTTGGGAGGGAAATATCCTTCTGTGAAAGAAGATTGGAAGTGACTGGCAGATTCTGCAACAGGAATTACAGTACAACAGTTACCGTTCTTGAGCCCCCCCACCCCTGCCTTGTTGAAGGTGTCAATTGAATGAAACTAGATTGAGTTATTTGTAGATGATAAAGAGGAGTAAGTGATACAGCAATGAATGGAAGACTCTTCCTGGTGGAGACTGAATTGCTTATCTTTGTCTCCAGGCTAGTTTAGTCTAATTAAAAGAAATAGAGTGTGGGAGTCTCTTTATTTGATAGATTTGAGAGGAAATTGAAAAATATTTTTGAACTTTGATGATTCAGAAGAATCTTAATTCTATTTAAATAAGATATGTTGTTATGTTATGATAAGGCATAAAACACTAGGAGAAATGTTGTAGTTACTAGAAGGTGGAAGAAGAGTTGCTTTTCAGGTTGTGATTGTTGCTGCTGTTCCCCAGCCTTGCCCCCGCTCCAAAGCTGGCAGTCTTTGAACTCCTACTATGTGGAATTTTACCTGTTGTGACATTTTTTCTCCAGTGTGATGGCTTCCATTATGGGGTATTTATTAACCTGCCTGATGCCCTTAGACATTAGACATAGCTTATTTCCCTCTAAAACAGGTGGCATTATTGTGGGTTTACATACAGAATGATGTGGTTAAAGCACTTGACTGCTAACCAAAAGGTTGGCCCTTGGAACCCACTAGCCACTGCACAGGAGAAAGACGAGGCAGTCTGCTTCTGTAAAGATTTACAGCCCTGGAAACCCTATGGGGCAGCTCTGCTGTGCCCTGTAGGGTCTCTGTGAGTCAGAATTGACTTGATAGCAGTGGGTTTGGTTTGAGTACCTCCTAGAATTTGCCAAAATTCTTGGGCTGTGTTAACATTAGGAGAGGGGCTTTATCTTCCTGACCTTCTGCTTAACCCAAGAAGGGAATCCCTAGCAGAAAGGAAACCACATCACTTCCTTTGCCTGCTTCCTGCTTCTGATGTCTGAAACGCCCTAAGCCTGTCTTTACGCACATGGTTACCACACAGTTCAAAAAGTCTGCTGCTTAACCAAGAAAACTCCTACCCACTGCTCTCTTTACCAGCCCCCTCTGCAGTACAGCAGACCGGGTTGAAGCATCAGAGGAGTAGTTACTACATCGGCCAGAGACCAAACCTCTTTTAGTCCAGTGTGCAAACCAAAACCAGATCCACTGCAATCAAATTGATTCCAACTCATAGCAACCTTTCTGAACAGAGTAGGACTACCCCATAGGGCTCCTAAGCCTATAAATCCTTACAGACGCAGACTGCTTCATCTTTCTCCTACAGAGCTGGTGAGTTTGAATCGCCGACCTTTTGGTTAGCAGCCAGATGTTTTAGCTGCTGTGTCACCAGAGCTCCTTTTAGTCCAGTGCTAGGCAGGCACTCTTGAATCTTGCTTAGAAATAGCGATTAGTTGTGTCTGGGCTAATGTCTGCAACAACAACATGGGTAGTAGAAGCACTTGTTTCCCTCGTTAATTACCAGGGTGCACAGAGCACATGAAGAGTTCTCGAGGCATTTAGTTTTAGGCCCTCGTGGTAATGGGGAGTCCTTTTCTCCACAGGATTAGGGTCCTTTGACATCAGTATTACGATGTAGGAAGGTGGCACATTTCTTTAATTTTCTTTATATCCAACATATCTCTCTTTCACATTATGGCCTTTATAATTCTGAAATGCCATGTGGTTCTGTAAAATTCAGTAGTGATCATTGTTTTAATGGCTGGGCTGAGTGCCACACTACTTGCCTAAATTGTTACAAAGGATTAAACTAGTTAATGCACATGAAATTGCTATATTAACACACTACCAATGGAAGATGCTATTATTTGGGAAGCAAAATTCTTGGCATAGTGTAAATAAGCATAAGGTTTTGTAACTTGAATTCTCTAAAAAGAGTGGATGCTTATGTCTTCACTTTTGATTCCCTGTGTTGGTTTTTAAGGACCTCTGACCAGTGTATTGCTTTTGCTCTTCAGAGGTGGGACCTTCTTTGTAGGTTCAGTATGTGAATTGAGCTCTTTCTTTTTAGTTTATGGTCTGTGAGCTAGAGCAGTTGTTTTCAGGGATTTACTGTCTTAGCATGCCCTTGTGGGAATGGCAGTAGTGACTATCTCACAAAGAAATAGTTATCTCTGACATAAACTCTTGATCTGAGCATGTCCCTTCTTGCTGTGGATGGAAGCATTTTCAACACTGGTAAAATCTCATTTTGCCTAGGGGTCCTATGAGTCTGTCATTTGCTTTCTACCAAATCCAAACCAAGCCAATTGCCATGGAGTTCATTCTGACTCATAGCAACCTTAAAGGACAGAGTAGAACTGCCTCATAGGGTTTCCAAAGCTATAAATTTTTACAGAAGCAGACTGCCACATCTTTCTTCTACAGAGACGCTGGTGGGTTTGAACTGACAATCTTTTGGTTTGCAGCCAAGCACTTACACACTGTCACCAGGGCTGCTTTTGCTCTCTACAGATAGATATACCAAAAACACGGTTGCCCTAGTTGTAGCAACAGTTGAAGACTTTCCAGAAGTCCTTTTTCTCTGAATGCCTTCAGAAGGGAGGAGCTTTGGTTCCATACACTGTATCAACAGTCTCTTTCTTGACATAAGGTAAATGAAGTAACATGGAGGAGGCATTTGCCACAATTGATCAGTTTAGTAGATTCTTAGATCCCTTCTACCCTTCTGGGAACTATCTAATGGCCATGACAGAGTAAATAGGATCTTGGTCAGTTGCATTTAAGCCCTAGGACTGGTGCATCATTTGGACCATAGTGCCTAAGGCACTTGACTGCTAACCAGAAGGCTGGCGGTTCAAACCCACCAGCCACTCCTCGGAAGGAAGGTTGGGCAATCCTACTTCCGTAGTGATACTGCCTCGGAAACCCAAGGAGGGGTCGCTATGAGTCGGGGCCGACTCGATGGCACATAACAACAACAACAACAACATGATTTGCTTATACCCCCACCCCCACCCACCCCTGGTACGAGGAGACTTGCCTTTGGGTGTACGTCTGTCTTCTTTATCTTAATTGTGTTAGACTAATGGTCTTCGTGTTTATTGCTGGGATTCCTGGGGAGTGTGGTGGAGAGTGGCAGCAACAGACTAATTGGACTAGATTGGCATTTCACAGGAAGCTGTTCTCCTGGGTCTCTCTCTGCACCATCAGCGATAGAGTCTTGGGCTGGATTCACACACGTTTTAAGAAGTAGCTTTTCAGAAAGTTAATACCTTTTTTTGGTAGAATTACATGTACTCTGTGAACTCTTTAGATTCAGGTCATTAGAGGAGTGGAGAATCGTGCTATGGTTAATTTTACTGATATTTTGGAGGTGCGAATATATAGGGATAACTTTCAGTTTTTCCAAACAGTGCCTACTACTGTAGGTGAGAGCCGAGGGTTCCATGGTAGAGAGGACTTTCTCCTGGGCAGGGGCCTGAGGAGAGTGAACAAGTGCTGAGGAGAAAGAGATGCAGCGTGCTGACAGACAGGAGGCACTTCAGGGGACCGGGAGCACTCGTGATCCGCAGCAAGAGACTTGCTTCTTTTGAAAGAGATACAGAATGGACCTAACAAGTTAGTTACAACGGTTTACTCTGGATCAGATTTGTGGACTACACAAAGTGTAAGTTGTTTTAATTTACTTAAATACAGGGACCAGACAGGACAAAAATCAGAACAATTTTTGAATATGACAAGATAATGCTTGATTTTAGATCGCGTGTGGCACAGTCTGAGTGCTGTAGGGGTTTAGGAAAAAGGGAAATCAGCGTGCACAGAGTGGTTAAGGCTTGAAAGACAGGTCAGATACGGGTCCACCAAGCGTGTATGCTTCTGGAAAGCAGGGATTCCAGGGATTCTGTTTGTTTTGCTCACATCTGACAGTAGAGTGCAGTTTTGATGCTAAGTAAATGCTTTGCTGAGTCTGGGTGTGGAATCAAGAGACCATGGTACTATTCATCTTGGTCTTCTACTAAAAGGGTTGAGTAACTTTTGGAATCCTCAGTTTCCTCATTTGTGAAAATGAACTTACATTA